CTTAGTCTTAAACCCTCTCCGTACTACACCCATCAAAATCGATCGGACATGATCAACCATTGGCGAACCCCATTACAAAGCACGTGATGCGTTTCCGGATAAGTTACGGCATCTGGTGGATAGAGTAGACACTAGTTTTAGTTTACTTCTAGTTCTTTTTTGTGCCATGAAATGGCAATTTACCTTAGCCAAACACGCGGACGAGGAAGAGTGCTTCGAGCTGCAAATCGGATACTTCCATCGCAAGCCGCGCCTCCTTGGAAGCGTTAGAAATCTCGCAATTCAAGCGTGTCTAAGGTAAATTGTTTTTTGTGAATACAAGCACGAGTGAGGCAAAACGTTATGTCGGATCATCAGACTTTGGTACAGACAGCAATGATTTGTCAAACTAGCCCAAACATTGACAACTGCACGTTGTAAGGCGCGGTTTCGGTTATCATGTTCATTGCTGGTTTTGCATGGAAGTTGGGGCGGTTTGAGCTTGTTGTCAATGAGTCTTGTGGTTAGCTTAGACCAGGGGTCTCAAACACGCGGCTCGGATGGGGCGCAGCCCACAGGCTTCCCACGATTGCGAGCCCCTGTTCTCATGTTTCAAGCACCACATGTCTTGCGTTTTATTTTCATATTTTCATACGTCTTCACATCTTTTGCGCCACTCAGTTTTATCTTGAAGAGTATTGCTTGGTTTTAACTTTCGCTCCCCTGTTCTTCCTCATGTTCATAACAATGCCCTGCAGCGCTACGAGCATGGGTGTCTTGCTGCTGACGCACCTCGAATGCACAAACTCTTGCTCAGCAGGAGCAACAGTCACAAATAAAGAACCAAGCTCAGGCTTCTAGCAGACAAAAAAGAAAATGCTAGTAAAATATAAATATGGTCTTATAATAGTGCAATAAAAACAGTCGGGAAAGGAAAAGGTAGTAGGAAGGGGATTTGCATTTTTAGCATGAGCTTAGTGGATTCTCCAGTGAATTGAGCAACAGGAAAAGGACAGCGTGCTTGCATCGATTATTCGCAATATGTATGGGCCCAGAGTAGACGATCAGAGCCAAATACATACGGCGAAGAGGATCATTTACAATAAGCAGATAGCCAGAGCTGCCCCCTTCTCTAAAAAGATGATTGGTATGTCGTTAAGAGACCCAGCTCCTTTGCAACATTAAACACCAATGCTACTTTTTTTTTTTCCTGAATTTTTGAATGTACAAAGCCCAAGTGGAATATTGGGCCCCTTCCTGGCCTCGGTCAGAAACATCTCTTTTTCCCTGTGACTGGGCCTCATAGGCGGCTCTTACATGCATGTGACCGAGGTGCATTGAATCAAGACTTAACAGGGATTGAGTAGAAAAAGAAAAAAAAAAAGACGGGGTATGTGCGATTGGTTCCCTCTTGATGGGATGGTGTTGGATTGCACCCATGTAAACACAGTCATGGAGAACTTTAACCAATCGATTTCTACAAGGGCCACTAGTAAAGACTGTGCTTCCCACAGTTTGTCCTAAGTATGATGCAAATCCAAGACGGCTATAATGCAGTTAGTGGTAAACCACCAGACATATCATGGGTATTTATACAAAGGAAGTCAAACTATTATTATGAAAGGAGGGAAGACACTGTGGATGCAGCCTGTCTTTCAAAATGCTACAGTTAAAGTATCTGAAACAGATCCGAGGCACCAAGCCGTGTCAATGTGCTGGTCGAACCTTGAAGATGGGCAAGAGAAAAGCAATGATCAACCACATGACACACACCAAGTTCGCTGAGGATGCAATCAATTATTTTGTATCCGTATAGACCAAACTTTTGAAGCCTAATATTCAGGTGTTTCAACAAAAATAACCACCCAAGTTAGACTTCACATGGAAGCTACAACGGGTGCTATTTATTACAATTGCTGGTAAGAATGCTCGCGGCGTCTGTCACCAACCCTTAAAACAAATTATTACTGATAAATTCATACACTGGACGTAGTGCAATTGTGCACCTTCAGTTCAGAGAAACAAACACCTTACCAAACAAGTTGTGCACTTTTTTTCTCAAAGTTTTTGAATCTCCCAAATTTTGTTTGCTTATCCTTTAACCATTCTTTCCAAACAAGTCTGAGTCTAGGCATCATTTTTGTTGTTATTTTACCTCCAATATTATACAAAACTTTCCAGATCTAAAGACTGGTTAAAACACTTTCGTAGAGAAAAATTTTTTTTTCAGGTTATCTTCAAATATGGAAGTCAATTTGATCACCGTAAGAAACTCCAATTATGCAGGTGGTAACTTCTCATCATTGAACGATGTTCAGCGAAAAGGCATCAACCATTGTTGCCATTTATTTGCCTTGCTGTTGTAAAAACTCTATTCAAGGCCAGATGAACGATCACTAGAGCTTTTCAAAAGAAGCGCGTCATCCATATCACCCAAACAGTTTAAAAAGACCGGACAAATTTTTTTTTTTTTTTTTTGGTATCCAGACAGGTCTCGCGAGCACTCGAGGATGTAACCAGTCTTAGAACCCATACGAGCCTTCGATTATGCCAGAAATAGGAAGAAACAAATACTTTTTGGCCACTGCACGTCATTCAATGCCTGTGGGAGTTGCTGACCACTTAAAGATAAGAGCAGGTCATCCATGTGACACAGGAGACGTTGCGGTATGAAAGCAGAGGTCAGACCCCTCACCGGGAGTTCTAGCACAGCATACACTAAGAAGCAAGATGCCCTTGGCAGCTAAAAGGTGAAGACAGCACAAAAAAAAAAAAGACAAATGCTTGCCAAGTTTTTTTTCTATGGGTTTCCTGCATTTATATGTTCTTTCAACACCTTGTTCAACCATATATTTATAAAAGAACCAAAAGTAGTTTAACTATTGTAAAAGTCCGTCGACTGATATATGGTACACAACCCACAAAAGCTGCAAGTGAAAGCCGGTAGCCATCCTGCTACAAAGTGAAGAGCAGAAGCACCTTAACGAGACTACTCCTTTGCACTTGCGGCTCTTCGAAGAGTCCAGTTAAAACTAGAAAACAAGTCAAACTCATCTTGTACGATAAAAAAAAAAAGGAATGGCCCGGTCTAACATTTTGAGGGAGATGTTTCTTACTTGGCCCACAATGCATAACTTTGGGGCCAAAAGTGTTTTTTGTGAAAACACCCATCTGGTTCTACTTTGTTCAAAACTTTTGATAATTGAAAAACATTCATAGAAACACGCAGATAGAGTGCACCGGGCAGCTGCGCAACTATGTTAATGTGTGTATGCAACAAGCCGTTTGCACAGTCAGGTCTTCATAGATAACCAGAAGATATAAAAATAAATATAACACAAATAACAGCCTAATGTACATCCCCGACGTATGAAACTCTCCACCAACCGATGTTCAGAGTGTGCTGCTAGAGGTCCTCTCCACACAATTTAAAGGAGAAAACTGCTGTTCGTAGTGTAGCTAGCTACCTTCAAATCAAGTGGAGCATTAAATGCACTGAAAGTTGAGAAATCCATCGGAGGTCGCAACTATTATTAACTCGGCGAAACAAATTAGGGTCCAGAACACGTGCTACATGTTATGGTCGCATATACAACTGCATTTCCCAAGTGCAAAGGAGCACTTCTGCAAAACTCATAATATAGACCCTTTTACTGCTTACAAACATGGACTGCTGCCTGCATCCCAAGTGACTTCTGGATGCTCTGTCTTTGCAAGCCTAGGAAGGTTGCTCATGTAACGAGTGCTAGAAAGCATAACTGCTACACAGACAACAAAGTTGGAGATTTAGCGAGGAACTCTGGCTGTACGATTTAACGTCTTCGAAGAAACAAGTTGGTTTACAAGATTTTAAAATTTTGAACAGATCTCGCACTTTGTGGTTCTTTCGATGTTCAACTGGAGAAGTGGTAGTTAAATGTTTCATCGACGTTTCAATCAGCAGTGATAAGGTGGGCTTTGTTAATTTTCTTTTTATGAACCGGAAGTTTGCTGGGACATCAAAGACTGGAGCATGCCTAGTGGCATTTGCAAAGAAAACGGTCTATAAATTTATATTGCAGTTCATAAGCCCTAATAACCAGTGAGGAAGACTCCACGACTAACAATAAGATTACCAACTAATGATATTTCTGGCAGCAATGGTTCAGTCAAAGCACAGCTTTTCCTCCAATGATACAAAATGCTAATGACCGAGCTAAAAATCATAAAAGTAGATTCTAACTAAGAAATTTAAGAAACAACCTAATCAAATAGCAAAGGTGAGATATTTTAGACTTTCTTCATAATCAATTATAGCCGTAGTAGCTCCAAGCGAGCAGTGAAGAGGTAGCCCATTTGCATTACCAAAAGAATTAAAAGCGATTTCCGAGGAACGAGAGTTCATACTTGTTCCTTAACAAAACAAACAATAAAAAAAAAAATAAGGTGCAAGTTGGTTAAGGGATTTTTGCATAAGCAAATTTCACTCTGCACGCACAACTTCAAACTAGAGCTAATGTGTGCAAGATAGGGTACAAGTTTAAGGATAGTAGCCAAAGAGCACCACAGGTATCACCCCCCAAACATGCTGAAGTTTTACACACGTTTTATCAGCCACGTGAAAATCGGATGAAAGCTTGGTATGTTGAGGTAGTTTTATAGCATTTCAACTAAAATTGCCATAGTTGCTATCAGAGTTGCTCTGTGCACTTATTGCATATGCCTTATGAAACTATAAAACAAATCAAAATTTCCGCTGTATCGAGCGAGACAAGCTTACTCTGCATTTATAGATGGAGCTTCGTGAAATTTCACAGTACAAACCGAATGCTACGAAACTGAATGTTCAAGTAGTGACGACTGATGACCGAAAGACGTTTTCCGCCAATGAGATTGGCAATGGGTTGTTTATGACGAGTCCAATCATTGAGGAGTGCCAGTAGACTGTATATTCATTTTTAAATAAAAATAATTTAAAAAGCAGCGCTTTTTCAAGGAACCAAATCATAGTAAAAACAAGATCAAGCAGTGCAGCGTCTTACCGAAGAGTTATATTTCCCTGCGCGTGCCAAAGGGAGAGCCGCAGCCTGGTGAACCGAGAGCCTTACAAGCGCCCGAAAGCTTATATCCGGCACGACAGTCTCCGAGGGGACTAGTCTAGAGTGAGATGCAGTAGCTGGATCGGGGCCTGCAGAGGCTTAGCTCCTGCCTGAGAGAGAGAAGCAGCCATTAATGCACGAAAAACACACGGTCAAAGTGGGGCCTCGTGGCCCTTGAGAAAGGAGCAAAGCCAAGTGTCGAACTGCATGTAATGAAACCAGTACAACGTCCCACTCCCACACACTGCACCCCTCTCAGTCTGCTCAGTAGGGGCTCCGGTGGTGGTTGTTCCAGCCACCGGGGTACTGGGCATAGGGCAGCTGGGGGCCCCCGAGATAGCCCGTGTCGTAGCCAAGGTAGCTGGCGTACTGGTCGTGGGGCCCATCCTGCCAGGGCGAGCCCCCGGGGGGCCCGAAGGGGCGCTCTACCATCTGCTCCCTGCGGTATCGGTCCACCTCTTCCTCCAGCTTGCGCCGCTCTTCCGCCAGCACCTTCTCGAGCTCGTCCCGCTTCTCCCGCTCAAAGTCCAGGAAGCGCTTCCAGCGCTCGGCCACTCTGTGCTCCTGGGTGCCTGGACGGGCAAACCGGGGCCCCACCTCTCGCTCGCGGGCGTAGCCCCTCCCCCGGCGCGACACAGAGCGTTCGGGCAGTCCCAGCACCCAGTCACGGTACTCAAGGGGCTCGGCCCAGATGGGGCGCGGCTCGCTGGTCAGTAGGAAGCAGCCCTCGAGGCAGCGCTTAAGGGCCGCCTGCGCAGCCGGCTTGCGTGCAAACTCCACGATGCCCTCGCCCACAGAACGTCCCCGATCGTCCACTACCACAACGGCACGTTCCACCTCGCCGAACATGGAGAAGGCGCTCTCGAGCAGCTCGTTGGATACCCACGGCCCCAGGTTGCGGACGCTCAGGCAGGTGCCTTGCGTGGCGAAGCGCACCTGGATGCGCCGGCCCTCCACGGGGGCCTCGTCCAGGGCCGCCTTGGCCGCTTCCGCCGCCTCGTACGAGCCCATCTTGACGAAGCCGAAGCCCTTCTCGGCGTTCAGGAAGGTCTCCTGCACCTCGCCGTGCTCCTCAAACATCTTGCGCAACTCTTCCTCACTCGTGCTACCCGGCAGGTTGCCCACAAACAAGCGGCAGCGTCCCCCCGGCTTCTCGTCTCGGGGACGCACCCCAGCCCCGCCCTGCCCCATCGCCTTGGCCAGCTTGCCCTTGGCGTTGCTAGCGGGGGTCACCCGCAGCCGTCGGCCACGTCGCAGGTTCATGTCCAGGTTGGCCACCGCTGCCTCGGCACTCTGGGCGCTGTCCAGCTTCACGAAGGCAAAGCCCTTCTGCGCGTTCACGTACACCTCCTTCACCTCCCCGTAGGGCTCGACCAGGTCCCGCACATCTTCCTCAGACACCGTGTGCGGCAGGTTGCCCACGTAGATGCGGCTCCGGTCGTAGGCTGCCTCGCAGTTGTCCTTGGGCCGGTAGATGGGCGTGCGGTGCCGGCCGTCCCCCTGGTCGTGGTAGCTCATGCTGCACACCCTAGGCACCCACTGCACCTCAATCACGCACACCAGAGACACCCTCGACAGGCTCCAACCACCACCCGGCACGTGCACGTCCTCCTACAGACCGCTTGTAGCTACAACTACAGTATGTGGATACAGCCACACAAATTTCGCTGCGTCGGATAGGAAAATTAGTTGCTCAATTGTACCACAAATGAATCATATTTGAAGAAAAGCTGCCACCCATTCAAGGGATTGCAAACTGTTTTTTTTTTTTTTCCTTTGGCTAGAGCATAATTCGTAGAGCATAAGAGAATCTGAACCAGTTTACATCAAGTTCCTATTAAAAAAAAAAAAAAGCTTTTGAGGCTCACTTTTTTTCTTAACTACACTTTTCTTACCAGAATGGATAATTGGGCAAGTTTTTAAGTATTCAGCGACTATGAACAGATGAAGAGAGACTGGACGGCACAAACGCTTGTGCCGTCCAGTCCATTTCTTTATCAGTATCTAGTCACGCTGTTTCAGGCTGAATACGTGACGTGCCCCATACCACTGACAAAGTGCTTTTAGAGAAACAAACCGAGAGATTTAGGAACACTACAGTAAGCCCATACGCCCAAGTAGCAGCAAAATTAACGCCCTCTGCAGCAAACTGTCAATTGCAGCACTACACCCGTCAGAAAAGGTGCACCACGACGCTTCAGTGACATAACTGCACAAGGAAGGCCGTTTGTGTTTGTTCTTTATCGTGGTCTCTTTGAAGTGCAGCTCTAGCCAAAAAATTTGCCACTGCAGAAAATTACTAATTCATTGTGATAACAGCTCATAAAAAACTAGTTACAACGTAATTTTCATTTAGTTCCTGAATTGAGATAGCGATCAAGTTGAAGTATATGATGGTTTCAAAGTCGGAAACTTTTCGTAATTGGGGGAGCAAAAATCTAATTGAGTTCTATTCAGAAAATAACTACAAATTATGGGAAATTTATTTGAATCAATTTATATTTTCAAATATAAAAACTGGGGAATACAGAAAAATATTCGCAACATAAGTACTGCTCATATGGCATCAATAAAATATCTTCTTTTCTTGCTTTATCGGCCTATGCTTTTCAGATGTGGTTTTCTAGTACATATGTTTTCACAAAAAGATTGCTAGGGAAAATTAGAAACAGATGTCAGCTACTCATTAACATTTCATTATGCTGAACTTTTAAATTAGAGAAACATTTTCAACTTCTGCCACTCATTTGAGGTTTTTATGTGGTAATAGAGAGGCCTTTCCTGAAAGTCTAAGAAATCTCTAGGTCTGACTTATTTTTAAAGCTCTTCCTCTAGTACTTAAGAAAAAGCAAAAGCAGAAAGGGAAGAAGCAACAGCGTTATCAAGACTGTGCACAGAGTTGGAAACATGTCCTGGGATACATTTCTGCAATTACTTTTTTGCTTTGACAGTGTCTCTCTACCAAACTTTGGATTAAAAAGACTAAATTAGTAAAGAAAGGCAGAAAGATGTCCATGCCCAGAGAGCTTATTGAAAACCCTGTGTCAATACCTAGCTTTTAAGTTAGATGCTATAAAACTAGTAACATTAGCTGAAAAAGACAGTTAAAGGAGCTGTGCAACGATTTACAACGTTAAAAGAATTTGCATCTTCTACTTTTGACATTGTTTACCTTGCACAAAGGACACCAAAACATATTTTCTTCCTTTGAAATGTTGTGATTCCGCCACGTAATCGCGAAGGAAAAATTGGAATATTTCCCGAGCAGCGGCCATGAGAACCATGCGGTGTGATGTCAATAGGGGATTTGTAAAAATATAGCAAGTTGTACAAATACCTCCTCGATAAAAGGCAATTTTTCTATAAATCTTGTCGTTCCAACATAAATATAAATGTATGAAAAACCTGGTACTATCGACAAATATTGTACAGAGTTTTAGTGGCGCCATCTATCCGAGATCAACAAAACTGTCAGCTCTATCCACTACCGCAAACAGCCGCCAGATGCCGGAGGGGGACAGGGGCAGATCTAGACGAAAATGGCCGGACCCGGACGTTGGCACTTTCCTGAAGGAGTTGAGAGGTGCTAAAAAAACCTCAATCTTTGTCAATTTTTAAAATAAAAACTAGGACATGCGGCAAAAGCGTTTTTTCTTTTTAACTTCAAAAAGGTGAAGACACAACACTCCATAATTATTTAAGCAAAGCACTGAAATTGTTGCACAGCTCCCTTAAAATGCAGGCAGAGCAACTAGATTGCTCTGGCATGTTAATAACAACAGTTCAGATTGATGAGCAATTGGCACAAGTGTTACACTGTACCGCTTTGCTGCCTTATTCCTCCCTAAAATAAAAATATGCACCGATGCTTATTTTGTTTTCCCCCAGACTGAAACCCATGAAACAATACACAAACACGCAGCACTGACGTCAGGCTGCTGCGGTAGCGGTGCTTATAGGCAGGGCAGATGAGCAGACGCTCCACTTCTTGCGAATCTGGTTCCTCTACACGCACAGTGCCCACACCTTGTGTGGAAACTGCATTTGCCCACACTTCGTCAGGGCTTGTCGTTTTAAACAGCGCGTTGGCCTATAAGCACATCTGGCCATATGTTCCATATTATTCAACATTGCAAGTTTGAAATAAATGACCAAGATTAAGGACAACTATAATGTCTCGTGTTCTAAGAAGTTGTCATAGCTAAGGAAACATGCAATTGCATGTTCCAAGAAAGCCAAAAAAGCTTGACATTTAATTTAGATAAAACACCTAATCATAATCAGTACAGCTAAAAAAAAAAGTCAATAAAAGTATGCCTATTTACCTTAGGTCCTCCGCAAAAGTGCTGTCCTGCAGAAAAAAAAAAAAAAAGCATTTTTAAAGGCAGTATTTACCACATTTCAATTAATGTAGCTATCAGGGTATTCATATGGTAATCGAAATCTGAACCTAATGAACCACCGAGGAAGAAACGAGTCGAAAGCCACAAACCCCACTAAGCCTATCTGTGAACACTTGGCAGTAACAGCCTGTTGGTTGCGGAGGAAAAGCCGCTGCGGCGGCATTGCACTTGTGCATTCTCTTCCTTGGGAACTACAAAAAATACCAAGCCTACTTGCTAAACCTACCCTTGGCATAATTTGATTTTTTGGTCAGTGTCAAATTATTTGTCCTTATATCATTGAATTAAAATTCACTCTTGTGCTGCAGTTAAAGGGGTACTCCGGCGATTTTTTGAGCTACCTAACTAACTATATTTTCTGACTCCCCGGCCTTTACCCTTTCCGGTATGCTACTTAGTATCGCGAAATTCATAATAGTTATTGCGAAATCGGCAAATGAAAATGATGCAAAAACCAACATTCAAATATACCCGCACTTTTCAGCGCCGTGACGTCTGTGGAAGGGAAGCTTGCCAGTCGAGCGAGCAGTCTAAAAAATAGAATATGCCAATCATTCATTCAGTGCTGGAGCACGGGGACTGGAGCAAGCTTCCAAAGCATTCATTTCACACCATGACACTGCTTCGAATCAGTCGGGAACAAATTCTACAGCCCAAAGAGTGAACCCCTGCACTTCCACTGACGTCACTTTTTCGTTGCTGCCAGTAGAGACTTTCAGTTTGAAAAACACGGTGAGGACCAAAATATTAAATTCAATAACTTTGTGAAAAAAAAAAAAATTATTTTGACCTAATATTTGGGATACTATTTTGGCAATGTTGTTTGGCAAGTTAAGCCAAATTTCAAGCAAATCGGGGACCATGAAGAAATCGCCGGAGTACCCCTTTAAGTGTGACTGGGACTCTCCACTGCCTTTTCCAAGCTTCACGTAATTTACAAATGCCCAGAAAATTAAGGGGGGTTAGAAAAGTATTTTAAAATGCAAGCTGTCAAGAAAAGTAGCTATAATATCCAGCAGTGCATGTGAATGCTATGTCTGTCCTCTCAATGCAAGTTGCCTGTCCTGTAACCATCAACTAGACCCATTTTCACCTCAAGAACCGCAGTCAAACAAGTCCGGCTCCTCGCAGACCATTACTAATTTCCTCCTTATAGATATGTGCAGGAGAATGTTAGATATATTTGTTATCTTATCAGGACGTACAGGTTCCAAATGCATTGCTTTTTCCTTCAATAACTGAATCTCGCAAGAACTACATGGAACCGCGTTTGAACGATGCGCAAAACTTGCTTTTTTCTTGAGGTAAAAAAGGGTACAGTTGAAATACTACTGAGCTTTCACCAGCATCTGCAAGGTCAGGGCTTGCCATTTCTGGGGGCTACAAAATGAAAATGTTGTATGCCAAATATTCTGATATAGAATGTGGTGGACACTAACATAATGTAAGCCCCACAAAAAAGTACTAAGCTCTTAAAACTTTTTTTTGCCTGCATAGTATGTTACAAATAAACTTTACCGAAAGAAAAATAATTTCTAGCACAATATTCATGTCGCGACACTTGAGATTCCAAAACATGCCTTTTTCGGGGTCAAAGTCCAAAATAGAAGCATGTTTGGGAATTTTTCCTAAATCAAAGTTTGTTTGAATTTTTGTTTCAGCTAAGGTTTATTTTGGGACATATATGCCCTAGCTTTTCACTTAAAAAATATTTTTGGGAGTTCAGTGTCAGTTTAAGACAACTAGCATCCTGGCCTCTTCAAAGATGGGGTGAAGACAAGAATGTGATTATTGGGTCTAGATCAGGACAGCTAACCACTAACTGCTGGGTATGAACCCATGCATTATTTCGTTTAGCTTTAATATTTCTTTCACACATGGAGCATAGATAAAGATGTGGCCACCACTATCCCATAATCTTTCAATGGTGCTTGGCATTTGCCATAAATGGTACCACATGCTGATAGTCCCATTTAAAGGGGAATAAAACTTCTGTGTTCTTCACTTCAGCAATTCTAGCACAAAAAATATATATATATATAATGAAACCATCACTCAAGTATTTAACACATCTTTGCGGTCCTCCACCAGACAGCCATTTGAGTCAGCTGTGGGATTGCTACTCAATACTCTAGCAGAGTAAAGTGATTTCGGACTTCCACAGCTAAATGTCTTGGCTACCAATTTCTACCACAGTCATGAATATGCAACTGCATCTATATTCACATATTTGGGGTTCCATGACTTAGTGCCGTCAGTTCTGCTAGAGCCGCCAGCACTGTATACCAATGATCTTCCAACAAACAGGAATTATGCCAACTAAATGTCTGGGCTTCACTAAAGTGGAGCTATGGGGCTTTACTTTAGCAAATGTCATATCAGTTTAACCCAAGAGGATTTTCCCAAAGCATGCAAATCATTATCTTGCTCATTCGCTCAGACTTCTTACAGTGGACTATGCTGGGCTTGTGAAAAGTTAGAAAATAAGACTTGGAAAGAGCAATAACCCTTTAGGTTTTGTCCACAAAGCCGAACAAAAATCAACTGCCCACTTCTTCAGTGTGAAATCAACTTTGAAGAAACATATAAAAATACATTTTTTTCTAAAAAAAAAAAAAATCTAGTTAATTGCAGTGCTTTTGATCATGACATTGACTAGGCCCTTCATGCCTCACAGCTCAGAGACGAGCTGCCTAACTAGAGCGCAACAGAAACATTCTGCTCTCTAGCATTATTAAACTCTACAACCTTTTTTGCCGTTTTTGTGTATGACATGTTCAACAGATTTTACTCATTGTAAGTTTGTCTCTCTCTTACTATTTCATTTTGCGTGGTATTGCAGGTAGCTTGTTCGTTCTGATACCAAACAGTTCTTATCCCCCCTCACTATCCGTTGCTCATCAAGCAAACTGTACCGAGCATTCAGAGGATGCAGAAGCCCAGTGAGAGCTCTGTGGCAAGTCACTTTGGCATCCAAGTCTGTCCAGGCATGGCAGATACAGCACAAGGCTCTGAAGAAGCTTGGAAGCATCTGCCCAGAGCTGAGTACTGCCTTTGCAACTGCTGAATAGGGCTTTCCTAATATATAGATTTCAACTTAACAAATGAAAGCATTTGATTGACCTTAATGTGCAAGCGGCTAAGGTATTTTTATTTTACATATCCAAGTTACAAAAAGCTGGACAAAATAAATTTTAGCATTTCATCATGCTAATACATCAACTTTATTTTCTAAAAATAAAGCAGCCACTGGTATCCATTTTATATGTAACTGGTACCACCTGGTGGAAAATTGTGGTTGAGGATTTTTAGGATTGCCTGAGGAAGGCATGTGCCCAAAACGGTCACTTGTTCCTTCTCCTCCTTTTTGCATGTCTTATCTCTCTCTATTTCATTTTTGTGAGCGCATTAGAAAGGACAGGAAAAAAGGGTCTTAAAGGGCAACTCCGCTTCATTTTTGGTTTTGAAAAAACAATGCAGTCCTCTTCAGTATCACCTAGGAAGACCACACGTGGAATCTTACGACGCAGTTCTGTCTAAATGTTTCTTAAACGGTCCGGCAAACTTTGCAACTCGCCAAGTTGCCGAAATCGGCTGACTTGAGCGGGCGAATCCAGTCGCATCCAACAGCGCAGTCAAGGCTATGGCATGGGTGGAGCCAACATTGAGCTAAACGCCATCTACATGGCCCCCTTTTGCTTGTTTTCACTTCTCCGGGCGAGCGTAGCGCATGACGTCAGCAATGTTGCCTCTCGGCACTCAGCAGTGTCCATATGATTGGCGTAATGCGCCTGCGCAGCGCGTTTCTTGGGAGCCGTCCGGCCGCCCGCCGTGGTCCCGCCGTCTTCCGCGTCACAACCGCCGTCGTCGTTTCACAGATTGTGATTATTGTCTCTCGGAGTTTCGTCCACACTACGGACACCACGTGCGCGCACACTTATGCCGCAGTTGTGCAGACGTCGTCGAATGCCGTAGACACCGAAACGTGGCGAAGAGTGCGGTGCAGACGACACTCGTGCCTGCCACACGCCCGCCCCAATCCCGCCCGTCGTTGGAGCGAGGATCACGTGACATCTCGTACCACGTGATGGCCATGTACTTGGCGACCCAAGGCCAATGTTGCCGGGCGGAGGCGAAGTTCCGGTTTCGATATTCGCTTGTGTTTAAAATCAGATTTAAAAATATGTATCCCATATTTCGCGAAGCAAACGATGTAGTGTTTTACTAGGGCTTTTTAATTCGAAATCAATCATTATCCCGAAATCTTCGGAATTGCCCTTTAAACAAACTTAGGAGCAAAACGATAAGCCACAATAGGCACAAAAAGGATTTTGGGAGAGCCCAATCAAATCAAGATTCCACAAAGGTCTCGACAACTGGCCACCTCCTGTTTATGCTTGTACTAAACTTTGTGGGTGGGACTATTTTGCCGGCAGCCAGTGTGGGCTATTGTGCCAACAGCCAACACAATAACCCGATAAAAAAAAAAAAATGGTTTTGGACCGCACGTGTATTACTGTGGAATGTGTTAACACCCCCCCCCCCCCCCCCCCCCCCCCGGCTGCTCATTAGAAAAATATTAACCCAATTGGCCCACCCGGGGACGTTGCTTCGCAGCCGCCCAAGCACCGTTTGTCCTCCATTCACCTCCGGAAAGGGAATCCCATACCATTTAGTTCAGCAAAGTTTCGTCTACAACATTAGATTTTTCAGTGTTAATCGTAAAAAAAAAAAAAAAAATTGTAAATATTCCAAAATGCCTAAAAATATTGAGAAAAAAAAGCAAGTACTACACAGCGTGGATTGAACCAGGGTGCCGCTGCGTATGGGACATACACCCTAACACTGAGCTACTCTACAGCTTCAAATAGTCGTTTTCACAATTCGTATTGCACGAGACCCAATAGCGGACAACTGCCGGCCTTTCTTTTCCCGGGTTATTGTGCCGGCTGCTGGCAGAATATCCACTTTCGAACTTTTGCAAGTCGGAATTTTAAAGGAACAATATAACACTCGGTCACTTCAAAATCGGGAAGGTTTGTGACCCAGATGACGTTTCAGGTCGCTGTTTTTGACAGGTAGTAAAAAAAAAGGAGAGGGAAAAAAAAAAAAAGATTGACTAGAGTTTGGATGTTACGACTTCGAACTAGAAACCCAGCGGCAACTAAGGAATGCCAAAAAATAAATGTAAAGTTCGACAGCACCGCGCACTACAGTCGCGCACTTTTCGCCAGTAAGAACCGGTCTGTGCGACATGGACGCAAACGGCGTTAGGGTTAGGTATTACTACGAAGCAGAGGCTATGCGCAAAAATCAAAAGCGTTCAAATCAGCACAAAAACAAAACGAAATATCCTTTTCTCAAGAATAAGTTGAGTCGGCTCCGCCTATTTCTCTAACCAATGGCCAGCGAAGTGGCACTCTGCCGCAAAACTTGATTTGAAAATTCCTGATGAAATGCCGGCTAGCAAGGGAGGCGGCAATTCGCCTCGACATAGGTCGGGCAACACTTTTGCCTAAAAAAAGCCCGATTTCACGCAAATCAACACACGCCCATCCTAGCAACGCCATTTCTCAACGAAGGCAACACAAGGCGCTGTTTCCGATTCTTGACATCATCTACGATCTCCTTCCTAAAAGTTCGCAATGGCGGCCATTCGAGACAATAACGATTTCAAGCGACGCCGGCAAATGCCCGAATCCGGTGAATACGCCGCAGTAAAGGACGCAAATGTTAGCCCAAAATTAAGAGCTTACCTTGTCCTTCCAAATATCAGGCGCATACCATGTCAGTGACTCGGTTTTTCAGACGTTTAACTTCGTTTGAGTTAAGCTTCACACGTTAGCACGCTATGGCGGACCTTCTTGTACTAGAAGAATCGTTCTGCGCAGGCGCAACCAATGTTACGAACATAACATAAGCAGAGAAATATAACTATCTACTAAAAATATACATAAAATAGTTTAAAAGCCTAAATCAAAGCTAAAATTTAGGTAGTCAGCTCATATGAAAACATGCATTTAATTTATATTGCTAGAGTGGGTGTAAAGGTTTCAGTACCGATGACATTCATTTTAAATCTAGATAGCAGACCCCTACTGATCCTCAAAGAGCCATACATAGCCATAGTGGCCATAGCCCGTAGCTCGTTACTTTACTGTGCTGGCCGTGTTGGCTGCAAGATGTGCATTCGTGGGTGTTCGCCGGCGAAGGCGATATTTTTGTTTGAAGCCTGAACTAGTTTAACAGAGTATTCGTCATGTCTACAATAATCATCCTAAGCCTTAACGGCATCATGTCATTTCTTGCCTACCTAGTCACGCTGCGGCTCATACCGCGTTTCAAAGACATGTTTGTCGGTGCTGGATTATGCGGTGTTGATATGAGTAAATCATCCAAAACCAAAGTGTAAGTTTCTAAACTTTGATCTGCCTTCTGTAGCATCATTCACAATATATTTTTATTTAGCCATGAGAGCTACAAGTAAGTTATGAGGCTTCAGAACTAGCAAAGCAAATTTGTTATTGTGTTATTTCTGAAAGATCGTTGCATCTACAGAAACCAGCAAAGCAGCTTCGTTGTAGCGACGTTTCACCCACATCGCATTGTAGTCTGTCTCTTGAAATTGGGGTGTTTTACTACTGAAGAGCAATTTGCCTAGTTCAGTGCCATTACAACCTTGAAGCTTAACACGTGCAACGATTTCCGGACTTCGGTGAAAAATTTGTGGAAGTTGATTTCTGACACTTGTGAGGTAAAGAACAGAAAACCGATTTCGTCTGCGTGTCTTAGCTGTTGTGTACAAAAAAAGAAGAAGAAGAAATATTGGCTTTTCTGGCACCCCTCAACTCACTCCCAGTCTTCAGGGTCACACCTGGGGCCCTAATCTGGACACTTGGCGGAAAAGTCGGCGAGAAATCTGGCGGCTATGATTGGCCGGTGCCAAGGTCAAGTGCGGCGTTGGCCAATCACGACCGCCAGATTTCTCGCCGACTTTCTCGCCAAATGTCCAGACTAGGGCCCCTGGTCCCCCTCCTATTGGCGTAATTCGGGGTGCTGTGTAGCTTCCCGCTTGCTTTCTTGGAGGACGCTTCCTCTCCCTCTCCCTGCTGACATTAGCAGGCGTTACGCTCCAGCTTAGAGCCGAGCGAGGTCACGTAATCTTCTCGCCGTAGTTCTTTCTGCTGCCACTTGCGGCTGCAGGTGGGGGGAAAAAGCTCGACTTTTGCTTTGCGATTATGCAGCTTAATTGTGACACTTTTTAATGAATGAAATGTTTTATTTATCCTCCGGGACACAATAAACAACGTAAAAATGACAAGATGCAAATTCTTTTAATTTTAAAATCGTTGCACCCCCCCCTGTAGTATGGCAGTTGGGACCAGTTAGTTCATGATCGTAGATAGGCGCCGAAAAAACACAAGGACAAGAAGAGACGTACGCACTGTGTTTTTGATATGAGTAAATCATCAGTGTTTACGTCTCTTCTTGTCCTTGTGTTTTTTTTCGGCGCCTATCTACGATACTGACGGTTATTTCTACGTACTGTTTTCTTTGAACTACAACTTCTGCGGTGTAAACTGAAGGCGAACGGAACGCTCGCGGCACATAAAATACTAGCATGGCCGTTAATGCCGTCACATGCAAGCGAAACCGAGAACGCCTAGAACACATTGAAATTAAGCTCCAATGTCTCTTGCAGCTGCTAAAGAATTCTTTTTCTTTTTAGTGACATACGCACACAAAAAAAGATAATAACTCTAGTTCAATTGCTTTTTTTTTTTTCAGACCCGAATCTATTGGAGTGATTTCGGCAACAGTGTTCCTGATAACAACGTTCCTCTTCATCCCAGTTCCATTCTTCAATTACCTAACAGATGCTTCCAATTTCCCTCACAGTGACGTGAGTGTTTGCACGATTAACGTAAATTGTCTTGAAAGATATCCTCGAAACAAGTGAAACTTAGAATCTAAGGCTTGTGGAATCATAGTATGTCTCGCCTGATGGCTGGGACGAGTTACCCAAATTAAATTGACCTAATTTGTCAACTGCCACTGTGGTTTTTTGCCAATTGGTCACAGAGCTATTGAACAGTAATTTTTACTTTGATTAGTTACTTATTTAAATACAACCCTACCCTTTGTGTGCACTGGACCACCTGCCTAACTTGCTCTCAAAGCAGGCCTAAGAAAGAATTGCCCCACCCTAAACTCAAGTGCAAAGTAAAGTGGAAACCTACTTGAGAGTCACAAGCATGGATGCTATGACAATATTTAATCAGTCACACATGCAGGGGTCTTCTGCCTTCTTTAAAAGAACTTGTGACAGGAATGTAAAGTTTCATACATAATTACCATCTTCAGTACTCTACAATTTTTTGCAATCAGCCACTCTTTGCACTTATTTCTAAATACATGCTAGTACCACTTTAACAGGGTTTGTGGAGATTTTTTCTAAGCTGCCTTCAGGTCTGCATGTTGCTTTATATATCAGACATTTACTCCTCAACATAAATCCCAGTTAATGGTATAGAGCTCAGATGATCTGTGCAGTGACTAACTCTTGATTTTGTTGTTCCCCAGCACTTTCTCCTTTTGCATGCCACACCACATCTTATAAATAGGGTCCTTTGTTTTCAAACTATATTTTTCAAAAATCGGATTTAAAAATTGGCTGTTTTGTTCTGATAATCCCTGTGCTTTTCCTGTCTCTTTAGTTCCTATTATATGTTAGCTCCATTTATTGTACTGAACAAAGCTGGCAGTAGGGTGGTTTGCAAGCTCCCAGTGCCTCCGAGTATACTGGGATATCTAAATTAATAGTAGGGGACATCTCTCTTCCCAAATTTTTTCAAACTCTCCATTCGGATTGTACGAAGCAGCACGCATCAGCCAGAATGGCGATTCGGAATGCCTGCTTTTTATTCCCTCGTGCCCCCGTGTCCGTCGTGTCTTTCTATTCTTCCAGTGGTGCCATCGTTGGCTAGCTGCTACATCTTTCTCAAAAAAAAAAAAAAAAAACGAGTTTAGAGGTTTGTGTAAGTCTAAATATTGTGGTCATGTCCATATCGTTGTGGTGGCCTTCTATCCCTTGTTCCTCTTCGAAGCAGCGGGCGCAGCTCAGACTCAACTTGGCCCTCTATGTCAGCGTTGATTCCTGGCCAAAACAGGATATCTCGAGCTCTTCTTTTCATCTTCTCCTTGCCTGCGTGTGCTGCGTGCAGCAGGTTGATGATCTTTTTCCTAATAGCTGTAGGTATGACTAGCTTGTTGGATCGGAGTACAAGTCCATCTTCATGGATTTCCTCCCGGTATGACCAAAAAGGCCTTCCAAGTTGCGGCACTTGGTGTTTCTCTTCCGGCCATGCAGTCCGCGCATACTGACGCAGCGGTTGCAGTTGTGCGTCAGTTCCGGTTGCCTCTCGGATTTCTTGAAGGCGGTCTTGAGTAACTGATATGTGCTCTAGCGCGTTTACTTGGAACTTTCCTTGGCGCTGTTGTCGGCTGTTAGATGACTGTGGACATTTGCTGCAGCATTTTTTTGACTAGCTGCTACACGGATGATTTGCCACCCGTGGTGTCCAACAAATTGTGTAGTATAATACTTTAAACTTTTATCTTAAGGTGACCTAATGCTCTGGCATCGGAAACAATTTCAAATATCGACTCCACAAATACCAGATCACTCAAACGTTTTGGAAACATACTTCAAAAATATTTCAAGATGTAAGGCCGTGCATATACATACGTTTATTCACAGTATAGGGAATATTCACTGTCGGCCATTGCTGTGTGCACGACTGCTGAGCACGTGCTGACCGCGAGCTTTCACAGCTTTTTTGCAACACGCATTCCCTACCATCAAGATCGCCGGTCTTAGCAGCTTATTAATATGAGCTCGTTCTGAGCATGCACTCAGAACATCGCTCTCAAATATGGTGTTTAGAGAATACCCCCCTATACGAAGGAATTTGAATATCCTTGTTTTAAGCTCGCAGCAATGCCTGCTTGTCTGTCTGGAGAAGCCTTGTTCCGCACGTCAATATGTGTTCTTGGGCCAATCGGTGCTGGGGTAACTGCGACGTGCAGTTCGTGGAGCTGCTGGCAGCCCTGCTGTCCATCTGCTGCATGCTGCTGCTGGGCTTTGCCGACGACGTGTTGGACCTCAAGTGGCGCGACAAGCTGCTGCTGCCCACACTGGCCTCCTTGCCACTGCTCGTGGTCTACTACGTTACCTTTAACAACACCACCATCATAGTGCCCAAGCCTGCTCGCTTCCTGCTGGGGAACGATCTCTGGCTCGGTGAGTCCCAGACACGCTGGAAGTGCAGAGAAAGGGCTGGGTCCCACCGTCATCTCGTGTCTTGTACTTCCGACTAGGCTGAGGCTCATGAATAGTGTTATCTGTTGTGCACCATGTGCACACTCAGTGGTGTCGAAATGGGAGATGGGATCAAGCATTTCAGATATTTCTATTAAGCAGAGGGGAAAGGGGAGGGAAATCCCCCTCTCCCCTCCCGTTGCCTCTTTATCTTACAAACGCTTCCGACACCCTTGACCACACCCATAAATTTTATTAAATACAAAGTGAATTTTGAGGGTTGAAACCTTCAGCAAGTTTAAGTGCAAGAAAATTCAAGTACAATTTGGAGCCCCATCATTCTTCTGGTACACACACCCACCAACTTGCCTGACGCAAGAACGATGCACCAAGACAACCACGAAACACTTGTGGGAAAGCATGTTTTCAAACTACCCTAGGCCTTAGCTTGTGAGGAAGTGGTAGAGTACTACAAAATGTCTTTATTAGTCGCACGAAGGGCAAGGAGGAGTCTTACCAGTGGCTTCTTTCTCACAAGTGTTTGGTGGTTATCTGCATGCATTGTTAGTGGATTGGGCAAGTTCACGGGTGTGTATTTAGGGAGAATAATTTAGCTCGTTCTCTCTAAATGGGAAGCAACTCTCGCACAGTGGTTCATTCCACACATATACCTGTGGACTTGGAACACTCGGACTTGCACAAAGACAGTGGAACCCTTTTATCTGTCCGTGTGCCCTTACTATGGCAACAGTGCTGCCCTTTGGGGAGCTAAAGAATTACTACTTATCAGCTTTTCCCAGATGGCACAGGGAGTTGCAACGTCTCCCACAGCAACTGGAAGTTTCCACATTTCCTCATGTTTCATCGTTGTACCACGACATTGCCAAGGTCACACACGCAACAAGCAGGACGAGCTCATGGCGTGTGATGAGGTGAAGTCGAATCCGCCGAGTGTAGACCGGCTTGAACTCTCCCAAAGAAAGCTGCCCAGCGTTGAAACATGAAAGTTTTCTTTTGTAGTAATGTTCTGGCACACCAGTTTCTGGTTGTTTTCACCAGAAAACTTTCAGCTTTCACAATCTTTTTGTTATATCTGCTGCCCCACTTCTGAGTTTGACTAAAATTAAACTAAGAGTATAGCAGCAGCAGCAATCAGTGTGTATTACTTTGTTATCTTTAATATTTTGCTATTCCTGGGTTTGTTCCAAGAATAGGGATTGCTAAAACGCACAGTAGTCGAGCTAGCAAGTGACGTATAGACCCCAAACCGCCTTGGATCAGAAACCCTGTGGTGCCACTCGTGGGTTGTGTTCCAGATCTTACCCAAATGGATCCAATTTACCCCAGTGGGTCATGTCACGTAAGAACACAAGTAAAAAAACGCTGGATGCATGTAGGTTTTCAAACGCCAAGGTACAAAACCCTTACCCTGTGTAAGGGTTTTGTGTAAATTGTAACTGTGTAAATTTTGGAACACAGCTATAGTCATTACACAATGTTGCACGTTGCGCCTATATGGAGTCTAAGAGCCAACTCTCGCTGCCCGCACAGACGGCAAGCTGCCTGAGCGCATACCGGTTTTTCAAGGGTGAAAGAAAAGACCTTGTTTCCAAGAGTTCCTCAATCCCCAATGCCACAATTAGAAGTGGCATCAGTGACATAGAAGTGTTTTTAGAAAATTCTTATATGCTCTGGTCTTTTATTATATAACTCACATAGATTTTTTTAAACATCCAAATTCATCTGCTAGCGTTAAAAAGATGATTTTGGTTTCTGGGGGCCTTCTCCCTCAAGTTCTTAGGAAATTTTTGTTGTCTATGCAAGATGGCGACGTGGATCGGACTCCATGAGCGAAGTCAGAGCGTCGGATGTCGCTCCAACTGCGGGGCCATGATGACGTCGCACATTCAAATTTCTAGGTGACATCGGACGTCTGATAGTTTGCTAGATAATTGTAATTTTTCTCACTGCTGGCTTTGCAGAGTTTTGGGTTTCAATCCTCTCTTGGTCATCTTATTGCTTCACTTTATCTTTTATTGTAACTCTGACGCATTGTCAAGTTCCACAACCACATTCCACAATAAATGTGAGCTGTGGAGCAACGAACAGCATGGTTAGCATGGTCACCAAATGACAGAATGACATATATACATGTTTGAATCCAAAGCTGTATCGCAATGGCATGATGTACTACCGCACAACTAATGCAAAAACATAAATAAATGACTATCATTTTTATCATTTTCAACTAATAATTTAAAGATTAAATAAGGTTGAACATCTGTTCAACTTTTTTACAAATTTAGCATGATGATTTGTTGCTGATGCTACCCAAGAGTGTAGCATGGTCGTTTTAGACAGTCTAAAAACAAGAATTTAATCGCGGTTCATAAAATGCGGACAAAATATTTTGCCATAATACTTGGGAATCAACATCCGTGTGGTTTAATTAATATAAGAAAAGAATAAGATCACACATATACATTTTTTTTATGACTCTTTTAAGATGTAAAAAGTTGGATGGCAACTGCTTACCATGGAATAAATTTCAGTTCAATTCTGTCTCTTCCAGGTCCCCTCTACTACCTTTACATGGGTATGCTTGCAGTTTTTTGCACAAATGCAATCAACATTCTTGCCGGGATCAACGGACTTGAGGCTGGCCAGTCTGCTGTTATTGCGGCATCCATCATTGTCTTCAACCTGGTTGAGTTGTTTGGTGAGCTTCCTCTTGCATTTTTTTTTGAACAAATTTGCCTTCCATTCAGTTTTGTTTATTTTTGTCTAATCTAACAAGTTATTAAAGAATCAAGTTTTGTAGGCAGGGGAGGGGGGGGGGGGTGATTCTGGTTGAATGTTTTTTGTTTTTTTTTGCTGCATAGCCTATGAAAATTTTTATGTCACCTACACAAACATAATCTCGTTTATAAAAATCAGCATGGTTTTAGAAAGTCACTGTCCACCACAACCCAGCTCATTGAATTTACTCATGACTTGGCTGAAACAATTACCATAGTTACTCGCATAATTAATGTACTCGCATATTGTACGCACCGCCCCCCCCCCCCCCCCCCCCGCAACGAGTACCAATATTTGAACTTTCTTTTTTCCCTTGCGTAATCAAAGCATCTCCAATTTTCGGCTCCACCAGTCTCGAATTGCGTCCTATTTAGATAGCCACCAAGCCAATTTTCTTTTGCTGCCAAGCTGTCAGGCCAAGTCAAGCCAAGCCAAGCCACTGTCGTAATGGCTGCAAGTGCGTAGTGGCATAGTTGCGGAAGTGATCAACCATGAAACCGAGCAGCTCGCACACATGACGATGCTTGGGTTGAGGAATTTGCCAGCCCCGGACATTCTTCGCCTCTCGGATGCATTGATGTCAACAAACACGCCGTCGTTTGTGGTCCGCTTTCAAACTGTGAAATAGTGAAAGAGGTAAAGCCTAAGAACTATCGCGTCGCTCTCCGTGCTGAGTGAGCTTTGTAGGGCGCTTTTCCTTCGGCAAAAGGCACGCCGAAAGCGCCCTAAAAAGGTTCGCAATTTATAAAGCATGGTTACTGTGGTGCGCCCCCAACCAGCCGTGGGTGTGCCTCCATCAGTGGAGACGTGCCACAGTACCTTGCAGTGTCATATTGGCCCCTAATATGACATTTGTACGAAGTGTGTAAATGCAAAAATTCTACCCTGTGAAATGAACGCCCCTCCAAATATGTGTCAATTTTTTGGGGAAAAAAGTGTGTTCATTATGCGAGTAAATACGGTAATGAAAGGGGACAGACTGACGTAATTTACTTAGACTTTTCTAAGGCATTTGACAGGGTATCCCATTCAAAATTGCTGGCAACATCCTCAAAAAGTCACACTTCCTTCACCTTCTTCTTTAACGTTGTATATAAAACCGTCAGTTGTGAGTTAGCGCCTGTCCTGTCCACTTCTTTGTCTGTCCTCGTCCTAGCGCTATTTGTAATTTAGTATGTATAACCAACTAGCCCGCCAGAATATTTTAACACAAATTTTAAATTGGATAACTGCTTATTTAACAGACAGAGGCCAATACGTTCACTATAATAAAATTGACTCTGCTAAACTACCCATTACTCCTGGAGTGCCCCAGGGTCCGTGCTTGGGCCACTTTTGTTTTTGATTTTCATTAGAGACATATCATTTAACATAAATGTCCCACTTAGAATGTTTGCATATGATTGTATTATATATTACAAAATAAGGAACCACAATGACAACCTTAAACTGCAGGAAGCTTTGGGGACAATATTGAATTGGTCTAAAACGTGGCAAATGAAGCTAAATTATTATAAGACAGCCGTCATGACAGTCCCGTGTAAAAAAGAGCCGTTGCAATTTAATTACTGGAAATGCAACCTCTCAGACGAGTCGAGGAATACAAATATATAGGACTTGTTGTTAATACAAGTTAATACAATACAGTGTCTCAACCGGAACCAGCACTTGGAAGCGACTGTTAATAAAGCGAGGGCCACTTTGTTTGTGTTGATAAGAAAATTAAAATTGGCTGATTCAGATACTAAACTTATTGCCTATAAAAGTTTTGTTAGAGCTGTGTTAGAATACGCCAGCTCAGTGTGGCACCCTTACACGTAAACTGGTGTTCTCGGGCTTGAAAGTATTCAGATACTAGCGGCTCGGTTTATTTTTAATAACGTTCGTACAGGAACCTTATCTACAGAACTGCTTCTCAGGGCGCAGCTTCAGCCGTCAGCAAAAATTAATAGATTCAAAATACTGTATAATACTTTAATGACACTATTCAAATCTAAAGCTTTAGCTACTTAGAACCATTACAGTGAAATTTGTTTAGAACGAACCCACGTACAGCGAAGTATTGTCGATATCAAACTCTCGGAACATTTAAATAAAAATGCATGTAATAAGTATGTTTTATAACGGACAACATATTGGCTATATCGAACTTTTTCTCCCAAAAAAGGCTTCCAAAAACGTGCAAAGAATCGTCTTCTAACCTGTCTCTTCCCCCAAAAAAGAAGTAGGAAAGAAAGAAAATTTGAGAAGCTCAAGTTGCGAACAAAATTGAACGAACAGAAGCGATTCAGAAGGGGAGATAAGCTAAATAAACAAACTGTACGCATGCAAAAAAAAAACAAAAAAACATATCAGCGCATTGTTACAATGCAGAAGTGAAGAGATGAGGAAGAAAGACGAGGTATTGCCTTACAACGAACTGATCTTGGAAGTTGGTTGTAAATGTTTTTTTGCTGTATCAAACTACTTGCTATTTCAAACTGATCATAGCATTTCCTGCTGTTCGTTATAAATGGGTTTGATGTATTGACAGTGTCCCAATGCCTAAACCAGACTAGAGCATTAAAACAATACAAGTTTAAGAATGACTGTTTTAGATATTCTTTCTTTCCTTAGGCAATTCAAGTTTGGAATGCGCTACCAAACGATATTGTCATCTTAACACCTGTTGAAAATTTCATTACTGTTATGTAAAGTTTGCTTACCCGAGTCTTTTCTTTTTTTGTTTTTATTTATGACTACCTTTTGTTGTATGATGTACCCACTCCTACTAAGGCTCCTTAACTGGAGCCAGTAGCATTCCCAAATAAATAAATAAATAATAAAAATAGTCTAAAAGCATGACACTAGAAAAAATGTGGGACGACACGACACATCTGTTTCGTGTGTCATCTCTATTCCTATCTACCACAGCCTCGGTGTTTTAGTCTATTATGTTCAACCATCACCACCTCGTTTGTGCCCTAACTTTCTGTTTACCTCCATTTTACGGTGAAGGAAGCTAATTATTTTAACCACCTTGCCAGGCATTCCGAAGGCTATAAAGTCTTTATGAAGGCACTGATTTTGCGATGATGGTGTTGTGCTATGTTCAGTCTAGAGCTCTCTGAAAGTCTACCTGCCCCAAGAATTAGAGCTCTTGTTGACCTGAAACAGGGCCTCAAATAACTAAGAACTGGCAACCTGTCCTTGCACACGTCTCAGGGTGCTTGAATTCCTTCAAGAATTAGGTGTAAATTAGTGGTAGATATTTATGTTTCCGTAGAGCAGGATCCCTGTCTGCTTTCAAGTAAAGTATGTTATGTCACCACTGTAGAAGGGCATTTGAGCAGCATGACAGCTAACCTGGGGTCTTTAAAGGGAAGATGGGGCGCTTCTACATTTGAGAAAAAAACGCTTGAATTGTGTCATTTGGCCTTTAGAATAACAGATATCACAATTATATTTCAATGCGACACGCCGGAGAGCCATAAGAGCAATTTGAAAATAGGGCTGAAGCCCCGCCCCCCTAGCCTTGGCAAGCCAAAAGATCCGTCGATGACGTCACGGACAGCGACTCTCTCTCGCGTTTTTCTGGCGTTTAACAATACTTGAGCGGCAAATGGTTTCGGTATTCGGGTTCACGAGGTAAAAATACACTAGAATTCACTTCTAACTCATTTTTTTCAAGAAGCTCCGTAGCTTCCCTTTAACATGCACTGAGCAGTAAAGGACATGTGGAAGTCATACCATTGTAAAATTTAATCTACAGGGTGTTTTTTTTAGCTGCACCAAATGGTTTTAATAAAGGAAGGAAAAGTTATATGGATGCGGTTCCAGCTGCATGTTTAAATGGCTTGGCGGACATTAGGTGGGAATATAACCATCACAATTATCAGATTAATTAACTAAAATCTGTTAATTAACTTTTTAATTACTGTGATTAGGATACATATTTTTACAAACTTTGAGGCGCTCGTATGCCAAGACTGTTTCATTTTGTAGAATTTGCATAACCAGTTTGTGTTCCGCGATATTTGTCACCAAATTTTGTACTTTTACCCGGATACTGTAGAAACGTTTGGCTGTAATGCCACCTTTCGTGGGTTTACAGGATTGAGTGGAAAAAAGTCGGCAGCTAAATATATACACCCTGTATATTGAAACTGGCAGAAGTGGGAAACAAACTCCTGACTTGTGAGCTTGCAGTACAAGCTTTCTCACAATCAGCGTCAAGGTGCAGTTAGATTATTCTTGATATATAATATTAATTCATTGTTTATTACATGCACAAAGTTTCATAATTTTTACAGTGCCTGTAGTTACAAAAATTAATTTTTTGTAAAGTTTGTATTTTGCATTTGAGGTCCTTGGGCGGCGGCAGTCATTACAATAAAAGGTGCTGCGCTACCAGTGGGAGCAACCTATAGTTACGGGCAGAGTTAGCCAGCCCACACTGCTTTGTAGCCATATCCATTGGCTGTTGGAATTTCTTGAACCTTGTTGGAATTTGGCATTTTTATCCGAAACCTTCATTTCCACAATCGAATATTGGAAAGTTTAAGCTACTGTTGGGACCTAGATTGTAAGTGTACTTATCTGGGTTGTAAATTGGCATGGGCACTTTTGTCAATCACAGGAGACTGCTGGAAGAACCACCTCTTCTCCCTGTACCTGATGCCACCATTTCTCAGTACTACTCTTGCACTGCTGAGGTACAACTGGTGAGTATTGGCCTTCTGTGTTCCTACTCTTGTCTTTCTACGGCCACTCACGCCATAGAGGGGATGGAGCACAAGCTGGAATTTCTATTTCTGACCCGACCCGGACTAGTGGTGACCCGGCCCAAGCCCCACCCAAAGCCGACAGGGCTTTTAAACAGCTTATAGTGCAGGACCGGGTATAATGCGGCTTTTTTAAACCACCGGTTCGCCTCCCATAGAACTCCATGTAATTACCTACCGCTTAAAATGCAGGCGCGCGAAGGGAAATACCGGTTATAGTGCGGTTTCTGGAACAGCCCGCCGACCGCGCCGACCAGTGCCGACCGAGCGGCGCAGCGAGCACGCTTCCCTGTGCGACACTAGATAACGGCGCTAGCCGCAAGCGGCACTCGCGGGGCAAGGAGGTTGCTTGAAGAAGCAAGGAGAAGTGAACAGAGAAGCTTCAGTTGCCATAGCACCGGAGGGACGCACGCACGTGTCGTTCACGTACGCACGCACGTGTCGTTCACGTGCGTGCGTCCCTCTGCTGCGTCGGAAACACAGTGTCGGAAACAACCGCAACGACAGACCAATCGCAGGTTGAAGAGAAGTGTTTGCACGCGTTGCATGCCAGTCGCTGGCCGGCTTCTTCTATCCGCAAACATGGCGTCGGTTGTGATCGTCGACGTAGACGACGTGGTGGAAGCTCATCGTTCCACATAAAAGCGCTATCCTTGACTGTGAATTTTCGTTGTGTGTCGCTATGATAACCCAGCATGTACTAGAAGGGAAGATCCACCTATTCGTGCGGCGATGTTGTGGCGGCAATCTCAAGGCGGCAGAGACGCCCGTGTCGTCGTGTTTGTTTACTTCGACTGCAGTGGACCTTTCTAAGCATTTCTGTCCTCGAACATCGCCCGGATTTCTTATTTGGAGCATTTCATGCCTGTGCTCAAGTTGAAGGTATTACTGGCACGTATCGTGTAAAGGATGCAAATTTTGACGCGTTTTCATCACCGGAGAAAAGTGATTAGGGTTAGCAATCCTGAACGCTCGCAGCGTCCGTCCGCAACCCGCAACGCCGTTAAAAGGCTGCGCCAGGCGAAAGTCGCTCATTTTTTTCAAAATCTGTGACACACTTGAGAGAGAAGTGTACTAGTCTGGTGAAATAAAGACTTTCCTCAAACTAAGCTTTATTTTTCACCTAACATAAAATAAGTTATATTACAAAGGTAGGTTGTCTCATGGCATGTATTTTGGACTGAAAAATTGGTGTTTTGGTTATAGCGCGGTACCGCTTATAGTGCGGATTTTCGCGACTCCCGCGACATACGTTATATGCGGTCTACACTGCATAGCTTATTTACCAAATTATTATTATTTACATGTTGATTATAACATAGCAACCTGTCGCATCTCACCATTATACTAAGGCGGATTCGGACAGGTCAAAACTCAAACCCACTCAAGATACTGAAGATAAAAAAATGTAGACCAAACCGTCATACGAAGAAAGGTGAAGCATAAAAATAACAAACTTGGAAGGGTGACTACTGACAATATCGCAGGGTCAATATAAGTTTACAATCATCAAAATTATGAAGAATCAAACTAATCTGAAGATCCAGGAACAAAAGAAGGGCAATTCAATGACTATTTCACGTGTGCGTCCTCAGGTGGGTGCCCCATAGCACCATTCACACAATGGAGAAACCCACAGAAGGATGTGCGCGACGTCAGCAGCTAGTGCAACTCCCTACTCAGCTTCTTCGTCCACTCTGGAAGCTCTGGAAGCCTTGGACTCGTAGCCGACAATGCACCAAGCACCTTTTTTAGCTTTAGCTTTTATTGTTTTGCGCAAGCTCACCTTACTCAGTCCACAATATTTTTTATGCAGTTCCTAAAGTAAGGGTGGGGCCACAAGGGCCTTCAGTTTTCCTGCCTGCTGCCCCACGACCTTGGGGTATCTTCAACCTCTCTCCTCTCAGACAGCCTTTTTAGAGCTGAGGGGTTTTTGTGATAGCATTGTTGCTTTTTGCATTTCCTCTTTATTTTATTTTTCTTCAAACCTTTAGAGTCAATAGGTTTGTATTTTGTTCCTTATCATCCAAGTTTGGTGCGAGCCCAGGAAAAGTTTTTGGTACAAACTCGAGCTTGGCCCATGCCCGGGGAAAACGGTCGCTATTCGAGTTGGCCAGGCCTGGGTTTTCAAGGTGAGATTGGGTCAGCGCTAGGACGTGGTTAGGAGGTGTCTCTTCCAGAGGCCCATTTGTCAGTGTTCACCACATTCAGTACGACTTCAATGATGTGCTCATGGTAGAAGCTCAAGTACCGTTGAGGTCGGGGAACATACACTAATGCCCCTATGTATGAAATAGTGGCAAAATTCATTGTTTAAAATTGCGCTGCGGGGGGAAAAAAGTCAAAATATTGATACCTGTCGTTGGAGTGCGTTCATTATGCAAGTAAATATGGTACTTGTGAAGGTAGGACAATGCCCTCCCCTGGTCATGGAAATCCCAGCCCCCTCCCCTCGAAAATAATTCCTGGCTACGCCACTGCACACATCATTAACATTCTATGCTCCGTTTTCGCGACTTTTGACGTACCAAGATAACTTTCTCTGACAATGCGCCAAACCTTGTTTCAAGCGAAATGAAAAAATTTTGTCACAAAAACAGCATCAAGCACCACACCATGTATGCCATATTATCCAGCAACTAACAATCAAGGAGAACAAATGGTGTGCAAAACTAAGAAAGCCCTCTTGAAGCTTACAGAAGGAACAGTTCAGTGGAAAATGGCCAGATTCTTGTTCTGGCAGCACATGACGGTCTCATCTTTCTCAGGGAAAACACCTGCTGAAGCAATGTTCAGCCGATGAATAACCACACCCTCTGATCTCATGAAGCTATGGCCTACAAACGAAGACCGAGAAGTTCCCAGAAATGGAGTAACGGTAGATTATTCTATCGGACAACCCATCTACGTGAGGAATTTCAGCAAACGTCCGACCTGGCTACCAATGGTAAACGTGAAGCCAATGGGAATTCACTCATTCCAGACAAAATCAATGACTGAAGACTTCAGTGTCGACATATGGACTGCATTCGCCGTCGACAAGAGAAAAGAGGAGCTCCAGACATGGAAGAAAAAACGTCTTCCTTCATAAGCTACCCGAACTCTGAGATTGCCAACAAACTACCAGCTTTCAGACAACCGGAATCACGCGTCCCGAATTGTGTCCAATTTAGCTAGCCACCGGAAACAGTCCAAACAGAATACCAATTCAAGCACTAGATTCGTTTGCAATATCAAGCAACCAGCACATTTGCAAGACTATGTTTTAAGTTTTAACCCAGAAGGGGGAAACTGATGCTTATTGCTAGTATCCGGTGGCACGCTCAGCTGTATATCTTGACTATGCTTATAATAACTCTCATACGAAGTCTAACCGCCGAGGTATCTGGCGGCAGGCATCACCTGGACTATAAGAACTTTCCTATGAAGTCCAACCACCCAGGCCCCGTGGCTCCGCTCGCACGCTTCAAGTTTCATTTGTGGAGAACGGCTGTTACCAGTGTCTCCAGACTCTCAACGTACGATGCAGCGTGCAGCTTGTTGCGCTGTTTTGCTACGTGTTAAATAAACGCGTTTACCTGGAGTAGTATGTAAAAGAATATGAGAGAAAGAAAGCAGACCTGTCGCGAGAAAAATGTGCAAAATACTGGAGTGGCGGCTACCGTAATAAGATAGAATTAGGGACTTTTACTGCTGATGTGCTTTAAGCTTCCACTTAAAATGGGTACTCGAACAGTAGTTGAGAAACGAATCTTAGTGCAAAACTTCAGTTGGAATAAAGCCTCTCTCCCCTCCCATTTTTACGCGTGGTGGTTTATTTAGCCTGTAATTTTAATTTCTGTAAAATGACTGCAGAAACGTGCATATGAGTTAAAGTAAATATATCAATAAAAATGCCCCCTTCCAAGTTTTAAAAACCTACCCAGCTGAGTACTTCAATATTATAAATTGCAAAAAAAAACAAACATACAAATATTGTGAATACCTACACTTGTGCTTTGAAATTGAAAGTGCTCTTTAGCATGTTGGTACCAGAGTGAAGACACTGCTCTTTTGATCGATCTCTACACGCCACAAGGTATTGTCCTGCTCGGGTGCGTGTACTGCCCCCCCTCCACGCGGGACGCCGCCTATAAGCTACTCGACGCCTCCCTCACCTGTGCATTGCTGAAACCGTACCGTGACGTCCTGATCATTGGTGATTTTAACTCGCATATCGACTGGTGGAGTCACGACGAACCGTTTCCTGGTGATGCTATTGACGATTTTCTCCTGGACACAACTTCCTCAGCTGGGCTTCTGCAAGTCTGCCACAGCCCCACTTACCTGCCTCGGAGCAGTTTCCTCGACTTGGTCTTCACTACGGACATCACAAAGGTCCTCTCCTGTGATGTTTATCCCGGCCTTAGTGGTAGCGACCATATGGCTGTGGAGGTGTCTTTCGCAACCTCCTTGCCCAGAAAGGGCCACTTTGCTCGTACTACTTGGAGATTTCATGAAACCGACCATTCTCACCTTGCTAATCTAGCTCATCTCGCGCCTTGGTGCATGACCACTGGGGGAAGTGACTGTCTTTCAGACTTTGACTTATGGTGTGATTTTGCGAGTGCCATCCAGCGCGAGTCCATTCCTCATTCACTTCGTTCTACCCGGAGGAAGAGGGCTCCCTGGATTACGCACGAGATTATAAAAGCGGCCAGTCAGAAAAGAGCGCTTTTCAAGAAGGCAGCGCGGCTGCAGTGTGCAGAGACACTCCGGGCAGCAAAGGACCTTCAGAGAACGCTGAAAGCTGCCATCCACACTTCTCACATCAGCTATGCCCGCAGCGTCGCACTCAAGGCCAGGGAGGACCCAAAGCTGTTCTGGTCGTACATGAGCAGGTTACAGACCAGTAGCAACAAGCCAACCTTCGTGAACAACAACGTCCCTCTCACATTCCCACGGGATATTGCACAGTCGTTCGCCCAGCACTTCGCCGGTGTTTTCAACGCTGCTGAGCCCACACCAGACATTGACCGCCTCGTGCAAAACATTGAAGAGAACACGCCATGCCCTAGCCTCCTGATGCCCGACATAACTCTGTCACTCGAGCACCTTCATGAAGCTTTTCGACAAATTAAGCCCTCGCTCTCACCAGGCCCTGACAACTTCCCACCGGCATTCCTCAGGCTGCTCTGCCCGCGGGTATCCCCATCTTTGTTATCAATATTCCAGTCTTTCCTGGACACGGCTGCTGTTCCAGACCTCTGGAAGCGGGCCTTGGTGACGCCTATCCACAAAGGGAAAGGCAAGCCTGTGAATGACGTCTCATCGTATCGGCCAGTCTCAGTCACTTCGATCCTGTGCAGAACTTTTGAGCGGATGCTAAATCGTACCCTTCTAGATTATCTGTCCGCCAGCAACATACTCTCCTCGTCGCAGCATGGATTTAGGCCAGGAAGAAGCTGCGAAACTGCCCTGGCCACCATCACGCACTACATAAGCGATGCGCTGGACGACCACACTTCCACGGACCTCATCCAACTAGACTATAGCAATGCGTTTGACACGCTGGACCATCACCTTCTTCTCCAGAAGCTCGCAGGGGTTGGTGTACACGGCTCCCTGCTACGTTGGATAGCTCGCTTCCTTATTGGTCGCTCTCACAAGGTGGTGTTCCACGGGTCTTCGTCTGAGGACTTCACCATTTCCTCGGGTGTGCCACAAGGCTCTGTGCTGGGACCCACTCTTTTCTCAGTGTATGTTAATGACATGCCGAAGACGGAGAACACCCTGCTTATCCAATACGCCGACGACACAACCATTTTGTCCCGTTTGAACCACCCTTCTTCTAGCTCCCGCCTTCAAGACCACATCTGCCTAATTGCAGACTGGTCTGCTGCCAACTATCTATGACTTAGCCTCACCAAAAGTGCTGCTATGCGCTTCAGTAAGAAGAAGAGTGTTGACCCCCCTTGCTATTCTTTCTCTGGCACTCCTGTGTCCGTCGCCACACACCTTCAAATTCTGGGGGTGACCCTTGCACCTACTTTGGATTTTACCTTACATATTTCCAACATTGTGGCAAAGGCACGTCGAACCCTCGGGTTCGTCACAAGGGTGTCGCGCTCCTGCGGTCCGGAGGCCTTTCGGATCCTCCATACCGCTCTGGTGCTCCCGCGTTTAGAATACTGCGCTTCCATCTGGAGCCCCTACCAAGCCCACCTCTCTCAGCGTCTGGAGGGGGTCCAGCGTCGCGCAACACGAACTCTCCTGTCGCGGACGGACCGGACGCTGGTCACCCCCCAGACCTATGAGGATCGACTGAGGCGCCTCAGCTGGCAGACATTAGACCATCGACGGGTCGTTGCGTGTGTGAGACTGTTGTGCCGCCTCCTGGACGGTTCACTAGAGAACACTTATCTCAACTCGGTCCTCCGCATTAGTAAGCGGTCCGGACAACCCGAGCTGCTACGGGCTCGCACAGTTCGCCATAGCCGCACGTTTCTTCCAGCTGCGATCGAGGCCTTCCTCTCGGCGCCCCTGGATGTGCGCTTCCCCATCCCAGAAGACCGGGCGGGATCCGCGCTTCTGTGCCGAGCCTTTTCGCAGGCGCGGAATTGATTGTGTGGGGAAGTTGCGTTCGGGCCGGGATTGCGGGACGCGCGTTGCCCTCGACTGTTGCCGTGACGGGGGGTCCTGTCGCGGGGGGTGATTGGGATCGGGACCTGGCTCGCCCTCCCAAGGTGTTGGGCCTTTCTCGGTCTCTCCCTCCTGGCAGGGCCCCCCGTCGCGGCGATGGGAGTCGCGCGCGCTTCGCGATTTCGGTTTGGACGCCCTCTGAGGACACTCGGGCCGTGCTAGGGCCTCGTAAATGCGACCGATTGCGTAACTCCCCCCCTCCCCCTTTTATTATTGTTATTATTATTATTATTATTTTTTTTTTTTTTTTTAGTATTGTGTGTTTTTTTGTTTGTTATGTTGAACTTTGTTTTCGTTTCCTGGGGGTTGGGCCAACAGACGCACCAGCGTACGGGCTTCCGCCTTTCTGTTTCGCCTCGCACGCCCCCAGGAAAACACCTGTCTGTGCAAATAGAGATTATTATTATTATTAGCTTGAGCGGAAACTAACTTCACTACCGCATTTATAAAAAAAAAAAAAAAAAATTTTTATTTATAGTATTTTTTTTTTTAATTGGAGATTAATTTAAAATTAAGACCAAAAGAGGTAGACCTGGGACACTTCTGAGCATACTTTCGAAGCCCATCACATTATACCAGGCGCTCAACCATTTTAGCCACTCCTCGTATACACTCGCTCGATGTGTGCACTAGTGAGAGGCAGTGAGAGGCGGACAGGGAGCATGCGGCAGACATGATAATCAAGTGATCTCATCAGGAGTACGAAGCCCTGGTTTTGTCTTATCAGAGTAGCTGCCATACTAGTATTTTGCAATATTTTCTCATCACTTTTCGCTCCTTACCTCGCTGACTTCATCTGGAAATACAGACAATGTCAGAGATTACCAGCCAGCGCAATTGACGAGCGATTTCTAAATCATTTTCAACCTTAATTCGAAGCGCAGCTGACGCTATGAGCCAATAAGACCAACCAAACAGTGTCAAAGTGTGACATGGCATTCGTCCATCTTTCTATACATGTTCTTTCATCGATTAGAACAATCAAGTACTGGAAATGCCTTGTGACATGCTTTTAAAGCAATAGCTTAAAAAGCCGATGACCACGCACAAAATTCTGTAAGGCAGAAGATCCTCCTCACCCTGAAGGAGGAGGTAACAGGCAACAGTGGACAGGGTAGAAGGGGGAGAGGAGGAACCAGTGGAAAAGTAGAAAGTGCGAACTGGTCGTCAGTCTTGAAGACCGACGACCAGTTCGTCTGTCTTCAAGTGTAGAAGAGCCAACGCCGGTGAGACGGGAAAATCCTGATTCAAGTAATTTATTTTCCTAGGCAAGGAAAATGCATGTTTTCTTTGAGGCGAGGCGAGGCGGAAGTGTAATTGAACCCCCGACCCTTCGGTTGTAAGCCAGACACATTACCCACTAGGCCACGCAGACAGTCTTGAACGGCTTGAAAACGAGTGGGGGTTCAGATTTAGCTTTCACATTTCACTCTTAAAGATGCACTAAAGACGTTTCTGAGATTGTCTGTTCTTGGTGATAATTTATCTTACTGGCTCCAAGCATCCTAGAAATCCAAAAATTATTCTTGTGCGACGTCTATTTTCCTACTAAAAGTGAGATCGAAGTTCGTGCCACACCCCTTTCTGAGCGGAAAAATCTGGAGCACAGAGCTCAGCGGAGGCACCAATGGCTTGACGACGGGTGCGCGTCAGCCAATCCCAAACGGAAGCGCCGGCAGCGAAGGTACCACTGGCACCTCCACTGCCGGCGCTTCCGCTTGCAATCGGCTGACGCGCGCCCATCGTCACGCCGCCGGTGCCTCCGCTGAACTCTGTGCTCTAGTTTTTTTTTTGCACAGAAAGGGGCGTGGCACAAACTTCAATCACATTTTGAGTAAGGAAGTAACGTCACACGAGCGTAATTTTTCAATTTCTGGGATGCTAGGATCCCGTAGAATGAGTTATCACCAAGAAGAGACAATCACAGAAACGTTTTTAGTGTACCTTTAAATGTAAAACTTAAGCGTCCTCCTGTAATTTTAGTATGCGTGTTCATAGTTGTATGTCTTAGGATCTTCGACTGTGCTCTGACCTAAGTAAGAGGAAACAAACTATACGGTGAGTATGTGAGTAGAAACGTGGTGAAATATATATTTGTACCATTTTTCTTTCTTCCTAGTTCTCTCAATAATAGAGTCGACCAATGATAAAATAATTATATGTTTTGCTATGCTTAATTAAGCCTTTTTTGGTGCAGGTTTGGCGCAATCAGCAAAAATGACATTTTGACGCAAGATGTAGCAGAGTTTTGTTCATGGCGCAATTCGGCACAAATGGTGCAGCGCTGCCATCACTGAATTTATGATATAGCAATCTCGAGCTTTGTAACTTCAGAGAACTTGGGAGGGCGTATTCCTATTGATGGACATTTTAGCGGCTATGCTGGTTTTTGCAGGGATTTTACGGGGATTATATTTACGGGCTAAATGAGCTATTGAGCGTAAAAAGAGGAGGGGGAAGAGGTTTATCTCAACTGAAGTGTCACGCTATGTTACATTTTAGAATTTTTTTTAATATTAATTGTAAGCGGTACTCACTCTGACCTGAGCCTTATATCTAAAAAGAAGGCTGTCTTTTTTATTTAGTGACTCAATCACTTGTTGATTTTCAAGTGATGAGCAAACAGATGTTGGCATCTGCTCCAAAAATGTCAGTGGCTGCTTTATACCAATATTTTGCGTGCTACAAAACCCGCTACGAAAAATTCCAATGCCATTTTCATCGCTAAACATTTTTTTTTGGTAATGGGTATGGATCTCTAAGATAAATTAATCTTGGAGTAGCTAAGAGAGAGTCAACAGGCACCTAGATGCTTAAGGAGTGGTCTGGTCACAAGGTCACCACTGCATATCTGTCACACTCTTCCCATGATGTTGAACCAACACTCTGATCTAATCCTGCGTGCACTGTTGCAAGGTGTGTTGTGCGTGTGTGCAGGTACCCGTCGAGCGTGTTTGTCGGGGACACCTTCTGCTACTTTGCGGGCATGACCTTTGCTGTTGTGGGCATCCTGGGCCACTTCAGCAAGACCATGATACTGTTCTTCATCCCACAAGTGTTCAACTTCCTGTACAGTGTGCCCCAGCTGTTCCATTTTGTGCCCTGCCCAAGGCACAGGCTACCAAGGTATGTGTACTTGCCTTCTGCCTTATGCATTGCCCATCGTTGCTTCAGCAAAGTTAACCTGCTGGCAGCATGCTGAGAAGCTGGTGATTGCATTTTAGACACCAGTTTTGGTAAGGATTGAAGTGTCCCTTTGATGTGATATTTCGGCTGCGGCCATATTTTGCCTATCTAAAGCAATATTTTGTATTTGTTTTGGTTTGCCTCTTAAGCGGAGTTGCCCTTTCATTTCTGACTACAAAATAAAAATGCTAAAAATGAAACTTCATTTTTAAATATTTTTCTTAGGGGTTCTCTAACAATTTTTGGAATGGTTTGGAATTTGCACTGAGACAGCCCTTCAAATGTAGGAACACGGAGGAAAAACTTTTTTTTTCCTGGAAATGCTATTTATTTTGGGAGTTGTAAGCAAATTACAGTTACAAAAACACGCGAGCCATTTTAGCTCCGTGTCCAATTATCGACAATTGATTGAAGGGTTAGAGCAAAATAACTGGCCAATTGACGGCGGGATAGGGTCATGGCTGCCATGGCAAGGAAGGAATGGATAGTTACCATATTGGTTATAGCAGTTTGCACGCTTTGCATCGTCCTAGATTCAGGATTCGAACCGGATCTTGCTGATGTCATCCACTATGCCACGCCCTGCCGCTGTGCTGAGAACAGCCCAACAAAACTGAGTCCAGCGCGGTCTAGCACATTCTGATCTACATTTTTTTCTCTTCCGCTGATCGGCAGGGGAGAGTGGGGAGGTATGCAACAAATTTTTTATGATGATTTTTCGAATTTCTTATTGTACACGTGGGAACAAGTTGACAGAGTCTAAATGGAAAGTGAAATGCTCTTCACAATTGCTGAGTAGCATGGTGTGCTAACTCAACTAAGAAGTTTACAACAAAATGGTTTCCAACAACCAAAATTTGTCACATTACACCTTTTTGCAAGAAGGAGTGGGGCATTAATTGGGAGGAATGGAACAGATGTCAGATTGCACTGAAAATGTGTGCTAAGGAACATTATAGGCCAACAGGTCGACATCAAACAGGAAGCACAATGGCAGTCGTCTTGTTCCTCAAACTGCGGTTCTGGAAACTTTGACACAATGTCGATCTTTGGTACGGTGCTTATATCTACCTGAAGTGGAAAGTGGAATTTCCAGCTATCGTTTTTCCTCCGCATGAAGTTCACAGTGAAATAAAAGTTGCCAGTAGTACTTTCAACTCTACCGGTGAAAGACATAACTGATCTTTTGGTACAAAACCTCACAAGGATGAGGTCATCTTTTGCAAGTTTGACCTCATCAGTCTGCCAATTAATTTCTAAGAGCTTGAGATCCCCATTGCCACTAAAAGACACGTCACTTTCAGGGTTATCATACTGAATGACTGTCATACAGTTGTCATCACTTGAAAAGCTGGACACTGCTCGAATCATCCTTTTTTTGCCTACGATGCTTCTTAGCAGTCCCCTCCGCCCTAAACAGTTGTCACATTTCTTGAAGCTTCTTTCTTTTTATCCTTTCAGTGGTTTCTTGTTCATTAGCAAGTTTTATAGGGTATCGGTCGGCACTTTGGTCCTCCCTTTTTTCCTTCCCCTTTGCCCTGTTTTGCGTGGTACAGCCTTTGGATAAGGATGACTGCTGCTGGGAAGAATTGCGGTTGTGAGCTTAGTTGCTGCGCATGCTGCTTCCTTGCTTTTGCACATGTCGGCTTCACCCAGATTGTTGCTGCTTTCAGTTGTGTTGAGGAAAGTGTCGGCACATGAAACCTCAGCGAGAGAATCACGTGAACCGCTTGCATCACTCATGATGATAGCTGTTTCTGGAGCGGTATTACTTTCTTGGAGGGTGCCTCAAGTCGGTCTGTAACAGAAAACAAAGTAGTCCTCATCCGTAAAGGGTTTGCTGTTGAATGGGCAAATACCGGTCTTTGGAAAGCATGAAATTATGTTCTTCGGTGTGTTGCTGCTGACGTGTACGCAGATCCCACAAGCTCTCCAACGCTGTGAATAGTGATGGTCTTCCTTGAGTTGTTTAACAGCCACTCGTTGCACACCGCATTGTATTGAGATTTCAATGGTGCGAACATCGACACATTAAGAGTTTGCAATCAATGGCTGCAGTGAGGGGGGAATGTAAAGAGGCAGACACCGCTCTCTTTTGCTTTGTTGATAACGCCAATGCTCACATAACTTTTGTGATTGTCGAGACCTAAGAGGATGGGGTCTTCCTCTGAGCACTTTGTGTGTCTTATAATGTGTTCTAGTGTGTGGGAGCCACTGGTTTCCCTCCTCTGAGACGGCGTAAGCCGTGGACGTTCCAACCAGAGTCATCCGGCTTCGAGCCTGCTCGCTCCGTATCATGTCGGGGAGAGTATGCCACCATGTTGGCCTACGGGAGGCACATGGAGGAGTTAGCACTCCCCCATGCGCCTCCCGTTTTCGAGGGACCAGCGAGATTGCGCGAGAGAGTCGGGCCTTCCCTCCTTCGAGTGGACAGCCGTCTGGTCGAGGAGGCCTGGATTGGACTCTGGGCTACAGGTCGAGTCGCGGCGTACGAGCTCGTCCGACGGGCGATGACTTAACGCTAGCGTTTTCCCTGGCTCCGACAGTTGGCGTCCGCTCCTCCTAGTGGACGTTTGTCTGCGGGGAGCCCTTGGCCCGAACTCCTGTGACGACGGGTAGCGGCGTGAACTCGGCCCATTGCCGATGACTCCGCTCGCAATACTGCTTTGGCTCTCAGGTCGGCGGGCAATGCGGGCACTCTGTGTCTACTGCTAGCTTGACCACAGTGTCTTGTTGGGGACCCCTGTTTCCCAATAAACGCTATTGGATACCGGGATCATCGTTGTTGGCATGGCGTTGGCGAACCCGGCGTGGCGACCGCCCTCGCTGGTAGCCGTTGGTTGCGCAGTGGAACGAGCATCGGTTCGCGTTTGAGCACCGGTCCCCGGATGTAAAGGTACATAATCCTCGCCACAAAATGCCGCCCAACATGGGGCCATGGCACCTATTGTTGTTGCGGCACTGCTCCGCCGCTCCATGCCAGGATGACGGAGCCTCCTCGGAAATGCTGGCTCCCTTTGTGTGCCGCCATGATGCGAATCCCGTGGGTGTCCGGATTTGGGAACCACATCCAAGAGCCAACCCGGAAACAAGAGTGAATTACGATTTGTTCATTTTCTTTTCGTGTCTTGGTGCAGGAGACACTTTGACAACGGATTCTGGGGGGTAGTCTTGCCTTTCCTGAAATTCTATGATTGTACCTGTCCCCTCTGGTGATGCGCGTCGCTAGCTACAGTCACCCCACTACATGACAGTTGCCGACTCCGCTGCCAACCTCCACCTAGTTACAGCGTTGCCGCATCCGGTGGCATCCTCAGACCCTTTGTGCCATGGGAATCACGTTGCGTTGACCCTTGTGGGCCTCGCAACGAATGTTGTTAGCAGCAAAGAGCTTCTTGCGGGTCAGCGGAACAGTCTGAGTTTGTAAATATGTGCGTTTCTTTGACATTGAGTTGTTGGACCCTCAGGAAAAGTCGGGCAATGCGTCTGCCACTAACGTCGCCACATAGCTCGTAATGCTGCAGACGGGCTCCGGGAACCGTAGGCCATGCATCTGCCGGCGTCCAGAAGCAGTTTTCATACTGTGGGCGCACGTGCTGTACTCCACTTGTATTGTGGTTGGGAGGGTTTTCTTCGGGATAGATTTGTCTTGCTTACAACTTTGAGCTCCTGCTGATTTCCGAAATTAACGCCTTAGTGTTATAAGTGGCACAACGCACTAAAGGCGGAGTGGCTTTTTAGCCACCACGTTTCTTGCGCTTCGCTAGGGATGTGTTCAGCTGGAAGATTCTACGGAGTTAGTCGTTTTTTGCCTGACGGTCACTGTATGGCAACCATGAATCACACAGCCCTGTCGCAGTGATCAGTTTTATATCTCTTGGCTCCCGCGGGGGTGGTCTCCAGGGGAGCCGAGAGATATAAAACTGATCACTGCGACGGGGCTGTGTGGTTCATGGTTGCCATACAGTGACCGTCGGACCCACTGTGAGGCACGCCCGTGTCTTAGTAGCGGAGTTGGATAGGTGAGTTGAGCATTGTAGGAAGTTACTGGTTGGCGTTTCCCTGGCCGTTCCATTGGCTGACCCATTTACTGGTTTCATTTATTCCCACTAACTTCTAATTGGCAGTTCCAGAAACTTCCACTTGATCCAGGGATCCAATTCATTTTATTTTTATTAGGGGCGAAGCTCCTTAGGGTCTAGCCTTGTCCATCCGTCCGGCGTCCGTGCTCACATTGATTGCCATCCCATCTGTGTGTCATGGATGAAACATTGCATGTAGCCGCTCAACGTCTATACAGGAGAGGGCGCTGCGATCAAATGCATATATAATCGCTTTAAACTTTGCATGCATTGGCTCAACATTTATAGACGATAAGGTGCTGCAGTCAAATGCTCAAATGCGTATATAACCACGTTCCATACAACACATTTTCTTTCTGACATAGACCGTTGACTTAAGCAGTGGAGATGCATTCCCACGGCTTCTAGCGGATCCAAGTTGATCCGCTAGAAGAACCACTGGCTCTGCATTTCACTGACCATAAAGCAGTAATAATGAAGTCGAAACGCAACCCAGAACTCAGCACTACCTATGAGCAATAAAAAAAAAATCAGCACTATCAGCACTACCTATGAACAATAAAATCAGTATCATCAGCACCACCAGAGCTTTGCCCCAATCAACACCATTTACCGCGTGGAGATGTTGTGATTTTTGGTTTAAGTCTGCGGTGCGAAAGTGGGAGCAGACTGAGGCACATTATTTTTATTTCTTCTTCTCTGGCCTCACCTCATCTAAGTCCCTGGTACAGAGAAAGTTACAGGGAAGCCAAGGAAGTTCCTCGTCTGACGAGGAACTTCCTTGGCTTCATTCGACGGCACTGGCTTGCATCGCCCCTCCAGTGTGTCGTGAAGTCCGGTACGTTGAATATTTACGGC